TGTTGTTTTACCTATCTCTGGAATTTTTTTTTTTTTTTTTTTTTTTTTAAATAAACATTTCAATCATCATAATTTTTTTTTAATGAAGCACTGCAAAAGGATCATTCAAGAGGACAACTGCTCTATGTTGCAATAACTCCAGAAAGAGAGCTCATTCAGGTCACACACACTGAAACATCTGGTAATGTGTTCTAAGCCTTGCAATGAAATCACTTCAAGTCAGTGTTTCTCAAACAGTGTTTCCCCAGGGCTTACGAGAAGAAATAAAGTGAATTTGGAAGAGAGTGGAAAAAAAAAAAAAAAATTAATTACATAGAATTATTTAAACGCAAATATTCTTTGAAACACGAACATTATTTCACATGTTTATCGAAAGTTTGAGAAATGACACTTTCAGGGATAATACTGAAGGAACTAGACGAAACGTTGAAGACACAATTCTTTTGAATAACTTCTGCTTGTCAAAAAACATTTTGAAGGACAAAAATACATTCCCAAAATAAAACTTTTTGAGCAGTAAGTGTCTGTGCACATATAGAGGCCTACTTCTCTGTTATGTAATCTCTCTCAGTGTATGGCGGACTCAATGCAGCTATCAGACACTTCATTCTGGCCTTAACATTTTTTTTTTTTTTTTTTACAGCTGCCAATATAAGATAGATTCTGTAACTTCACCATAAAGGTGACATCACCGTAAAGGTGACATCACCGTAAAGATGACATCACCATAAAGGTGACATCAGCGTAAAGATGATGTCAGATTTGTTTATCAACGGGTGGTTTTTTAAAATTCTATCAATATTACTTTGTAAGTGTGGACGACAAGACCTTTTGGTATTATGATTTTCAGCGACCAATGCATCAGCCAAACAGGTAGCCCATTTCACTTCTTCGCACCCCCTTAATGGCACACATTACTGGATAAGTTTTGGTTTTTGTTGTTTAAAGGAATATGTCGATATCTTTTAATACTTTACACCTCAATTTACTAAAACTGAAAAGTATATGAAACTTATGGATATCTTATGAATATGTCGATATATTCTAATACTTTTCACCTAAATTTACTAACACTGAAAAACATATGAAACTAAGGATATCTCTCTAAAAAAAAAACATGACTAATTTTGCTGAATGCTTAACTGTTATATAGAGGCCGACCGAATTTCGGCTTTGGTTTCGGTGCCGAAAGTGGCCATTTGATCACTTTCGGCCAAGTGCCGAAACTGAAAAGTTAACTTTCGGCTAAATTTCGGTTTATATTAAAATGGTAAAATCCAAAGTATTCATTACATCAAAGGTCTCAAACTCAAATCACCAGGGGGGGAGGGGGGCGGCGCAGGAGGTAGTGTCTGAATGAGAGTGGGCCTCATCAAGTAATCCACAAAAAAGCGACAACTGTTACAATCTGCTCAACCTTTATAAATAACAATAAAATCATTAAGGGTTCTCAAGAACTAGGATTCACTTTCATCCACCTACTCACTGTTGCATTAAAAAATATATAGAAACATTACCAAAAAAAAAAAACAGAATTAGACTAGTCGGTGAGATTCGACTGACACCGTCACGGAGAGTCACGCTATAGCTATGAGAATGGGGGAAACGGGCCGGCGCATTTACACTAAACTTTTCTGTCATGTAGCGGGCCGCAAAATATCGTCTTGCGGGTCACAAATGGCTCGCGGGCCGCGAGTTTGAGACCCCTATATTAGATGTTTATTTATTAATATTCACAATTATCTCATTTTTATAAAAATAATGTAAATATTTATACTTTCCCACATCATTTTCGATGTATGCAAAATGTATGTGGGAACGAATTTCAAAATATCTAAATATTTCATTTTCGGTTACGGCTTTGGTTTTGGTTGAAATTCATTTTTAACTTTCGGCCTTTTTTCGGTTTCGGCCGAAAGTCATTTTTAAATTTTCGGCCTTTTTTCGGTTTCGCCGAAAGTCATTTTAAACTTTTGGCCTGTTTTCGGCTTCGGCCGAAATCAGAAAATCACTTTCGGTCGTC